AAGAAATTCCAAAGAATTTGTCAAAAGTTCAGAGTTTCCTAGGTATTGCAGGTTATTATCAAAGATTCGTTAAAATCTTTTCGATGATAGCTTTGCCTTTGGCCAAGTTACTGAGTAAAAATGTATCTTTTGCTTGGACCCCTGAATATCAAGAGTTTTGAAGCGTTAAAGAGAATTTTGACAGAAGCTTCAATATTGGTCCAACCCGAATCGGGTAAGAACTATGTTGTTTACAGTGACGTATCACATAATGGCTTGGGATGTGTACTGATGCATGAAGGTAAAGTAGTAGCATATGTATCGAGACAATTGAAACCGCACGAGAAGAACTATCTGACGCATGATTTAGAATTGGTTGCAGTAGTGTTCGCTTTGGAAATATGGCGTCACTACTTATATGGTGAGCGTTGCTACCTCTACACGGATCACAAGAGTTTGAAGTATATGATGACTCAGAAAGAGCTTAATTTGAGACAATGAAGATGAATTGAGCTTCTCAAAGATTATGATGTAATGATTGATTTTCATCTTGGGAAAGCAAATGTGGTAAATGATGCTCTGAGTCGGAAGATATTAAGTCGGAAGATATTCTCAGCTTTTAGAGCTTTAAATGCGAGATTGTCATTAAATGGAAATGGTGCATTATGTGCGGAATTAAAGCTTAAGCCAACATTGCTGGATCGAATCAAACAATTACAAAGTAAAGATGATAAGTGTTTGAAAAATATGAAACAATTGGAAAATGAAGGAAATAAGGATTTTGAGGTTAAGCTCGATGGAAATTTGCATTATTGTGGGAGTCTTGTTATTCAGGATAATGAGGAATAGAAGAGTGACTTCTTGATAGAAGCTCATTGTAGTCCGTCGACTATGCACCCAGGTGGAAATAAGATGTATATGGATCTTAAGAGTCTCTATTGGTGATCAGGAATGAAAATAAGGTTCACGAAATTTGTATCCAAATGTTTGATGTGTCAGCAAGTAAAAGCGGAGCATCAAGCTCCTTCAGTATTACTGCAACCAATATTTATTCCTCAGTGGAAATGGGAGAATGTAACGATGGATTTTGTAACAAGGTTACCTTTAACTCTGAATAAAAGAGATTCAATATGAGTGATAGTTAACCGATTGACTAAGTCAGCACACTTTAGTCCAGTTCGAGTTGATTTCTCCATGGATAAGTATTTTGAATTGTATATCAAAGAGATTGTTCGACTGCATGGTGTGTCTGTTTCGATAATTTCTGATCGAGATCCTCAGTTTACATAGAGATTTTGGAAAGCTTTACATGGAGCCTTAGGGACTCAATAGAATTATAATACAACTTTTCACCCTCAGACAGATGGACAGTCCGAGCGGACTATACAAATCCTGGAAGATATGTTAAGGGCATGCGTTATCGAGTTCAAAGGATCTTGGGAAAAATATTTGCCACTTTCCGAATTTTCTTATAACAATAGTTATCAGTCCAACATTAAGATGACCCCTTATGAGGCTTTGTATGGGAGAAAGTGTCGTACACCACTGAATTGGTACAAGCTTAAGGATCGGGAAATTCTTGGTCCTGACTTAATCAAGGAAGTAGATGAGAAAGTTCAAGTGATTCACCATAATCTCAAAGTGGCAGCCGATAGACAGAAGTCATATGTTGATCTAAAGAGAAAATAGATTGAGTTCGAAGTTGGAGATAAAATATTTCTGAAAGTATCTCCGTGGAAGAAAGTGTTACGTTTTGGCCGGAAATGAAAACTTAGCCCCATATTTATTAGCCCATATGAGGTTGTTAAGAGAGTGTGACCAGTGGCATATCAGTTAGCTTTGCCACCGAAAATGGAGAAGATTCATGATGTTTTCCATGTTTATATGCTTAAAAGATACCAATATGATCATTCTCATATCGTTGCATCGGAAGAGATAGAAGTCCAACTTGACTTGACTTATGAGGAAGAATCGGTTCAAATTTTGGCATATGAGGTTAAACAGCTCAGAAATAAGACGATTCTATTAGTGAAAGTTTTGTGGAGGAATCACAAAGTAGAAGAAACAACATGAGAACGTGAGGAGAATATGCGTAGACAATTTCCCCATCTCTTTATGCAGTGAAAATTTGAGAACGAAATTTCTTAAGGGGGAGATTTGTAACATCCAAAAAACCGGGCTAGTGACTAAAGTGTAAGATTTTAAAATTTTGTGGTTAATTTTGATAAATTGAAAAGTTCAGGGATTTAATTGGAAAATTTTGGTGTAGGTTGATTAGCAAGAATTGAAAGATGGAAGGGCATAATGGTCATTTAACAAAGAAATGAATTTAACCTTCATTATAAAGGTATTATATACACGTGGAAAGAAGAAATAGTTAATGAATCTAGAATTCTTTATTTCTTTATCCTTTCTTCCTCCTTTCCACCGTGAGTGCTTGGATAAGGTAAGGAATCTTTAACTTAGTTATTTCTTGTAATTTATGATTTGTTTTGATTCTTGGAGTATTAAGGGAACTTGAGAAAGCTTAAAGAGAACCGGAAACTAAAATATTTACAAGTTATGGATGATTGAATATAAAGGGTTTTTGAGTGAATTGATGAGAAAGAGTTAATAAATGGATTTTAAAATCATATTTGACTTGTCATAAGCTGGAATAAAAAAATCTAAAGTGTTAGAAATGGATTTGGGGTATGTTGATTATTTGGTGTGATTTTTGTTTCCTAGTGTTCTAATGAGATTTTGGGTGTTGATGAGTATTAAAGTGAGACAAGTTAGTTTTAATAAGTGTGTTGTAGTTTAAAGGCCTGAAATGAGTTAAAATGAAGGGTTTTAACTGAGTTTTGGTAATTATTTTAAATGAGAAAGGTGATTTCTGGGCAAGGGTATCGGTACTAGATGAACAGTATTGATACTCCAAAGTAAAAAAGGGTGAAATATGTGTTTGGGTATCAGTACTGGAAGAACAATATCGATACCATAAGGTAAAAATGTATGAATCTTTTAAACAGTATCGATACAAAGGAGTAACATCGATAACAAGGATATCAATACTAATAGACAAGTATCAGTACCATTTTTAGAAGTCGAATTCCAGAATGTCGATTGGGTATCAATACTAAAGTATAGTATCGATACCTTAGAGAGGAAGTATCGATAGTAGGCTTAGGGTACCGATACTATTCAGAATGAAATTGTGAATTAATGTGTTTCTTTTGAATTAAGTTATTGGTGATTGATTAATAGTGATTCAAATTTCGATATTCATATTGATCGTATAATTGTGTAGATATCGAATAAAAGCAAGTTCCGGACGAATCGACGATATAAGATTGACCAAGAGAGAGATAAAAGTTTTGATCTGACTAAGTGAGGCTAAGGTGAATGCATACTACTATATATAATGTCTTATGGAAAGAAGGTTTGCGATGAGTCTATTTCCGATAATTGATTAAAAATAATGTTTGAAAGATTATGAAATAGTATGATTATATGTTTACACGAATATAAGCATAGTTTTGATTCTGTTACTACGTGAACATGCATTGTTTATATTTCATGCTATGTGACATGATCTATGGGATTATGTGAAAATGTGATATATACTATGTGATATTGAACTACGTGATTATATGAAAATGTGATATAAGCCATGTGACATAGTCTATGTGATTATTTGTCAATGTGATATAAGCTATGTGAAATGATATAAATGATAAAGCCCAAAAGTATGTGATATGAGAGCTAAATGTATAATTGGTATGTCAAGAGTCGAGGGTTCTACGCGGTCCTGAAGGACAATTTTACGTGGTCTTTCGAGACATTTTTATGCGGTCTTTCGGGACATATCTATGTGGTCATTCGAGACATTTCTATGTGGCACTTTGGTGTATATTCTACGCGGCACTTCGGTGCAATTTATACGAGCTGTGGTGACAACATTAATGGACAACTTCAATGCACTCACATACCTTAAGTTCTCAATGATATACCATGGGCTATTAAAAGAAAATATATAAATGAATAGTACATGATGATGATATATATATATATATATATATATATATATATATATATATATATATATATATATGTTTTGGTTCTATAATATGTTTTATGGTTTCTTTATTACATGATTTTATGAAATGCTCAGATTATGATTAAGTCTTTTAATGTTTTATTATGCACTTTATATGTCTCACTAAGTCCACGACTTAGCGTGTGCGTGTTTCACACGTAGGTACAAAGAAGCAGGAAGATCAAAGTTAGAATCAATCAATACAACATACTCTGGAAGAAGATCAGATAAGAAATGATTTACACAGTATGTTATTTTGTTGTATTAAGTGTGTTGGCATGTAATCAGATGTTTAAATCATATATGCTCTGATCTGATATTGTAAAAATACTTGATTGTATTTATACAAATTATTAAGTTTTATTTTAAATTTGAGTTTGAATTTCGTTAATTATTTTTATTTAAAGGTTCCATAGGTTAAATATAAACAAAAGTTTTAGATTTCCAACAAGTTTTAAAAAGTAAATGCTTTGAAAAATCAATGTGACACATCGGATTCGTATCCGGGTCGGATACGGGTTAGGGGTGTTACAATTTATCTATCCTGCGATCTCCATAGTCTATCGTTTGATGGGCTTGAAACTGAACTATGTTGGTCAACTCGTCATTCTCTCGTGGTCCACTGTTCAGATTGGTCGTTCGTCCTCCAGATCTATGCCACGTCAGCCCATCCATTAAGCTTTTAACAGTGGGGTACCAAAATGAAACAAAAACTAAACTTAGTTATGCTTTTGAAGAAAAAATGAAAGTTTAGGTAAAAAACCCAAAATTAATAATCTAGATGTTAAACATGTAGTTTACCCTAATTAAGTTATAATAATTGATAAGATAACACAAAAAGCGATCCTAATCAAAAAGAAAGAAAAATGCCAACTAAACGAGGTCGTCTCGATCGTTTATACATGTTGGTGGGGTGTGTTCGGGTAAAAAGTGGCGGCCTCGACGGAAATTAGAGACCAGAGGAACATTGTAGAGGAAGGAGATGGCGGTGAGAGTTAGAGCAGTGGAAACCCTACCAAAACTGATGAGAAGGCTGAGGAAAGACTCGCCCTCTTCAACGATGACCCAAAGTCCAGTCTTGCCATCCCCCAGGCGCGCTTTCTCTCTCTACGATCAGATCAATCTTATCGATAATGTCCCTGATGAACAGCTTCGTTTCCAACGGTTTTGCTTCTTTTCTCCATCACCCATCTCCTTTTTTTATTCCTTTTCTCCAACACCACCCTGAATTTTTCTTGAATCATTCTGAATCGACAGATACACGGAAACTGGATTCACTGTCAACGGCGTCAACTATGAAGGCAGCTTGCTTTGTGTGGAAAATTTGGCCACTTATTGGGGCCCTCGTAATTTTTCTGAAATTACTCCTCAAAGGTATTTACTTCCTTTATTCTAACTTCATTTCAATTGGGTTCAATGCTTTTCTGCTGCTATGGTTTCTTAGTGCAATGTATTGGTTATGCATAAGTTTCAGGTGGCTTGGCTAACTAATATTTCTCCCCTCTCCTATCTAAGAATGAAATTTTGAAACTTTAGGGATTCCCCCTGTCTGACGTTTTGTCTTTGTTGTATTTTTTGCAGCTTATCCGTCTTTCAAATCATACGTCCTATTCCAGGTGAGGCTTCAAACAATTTATACATGAACTTGATACCTGGTAAATGGTATCAATAGTGCATCCCCTTTGGTCAATCATCTTGTGGACCTAATTAAGGTTTTATGGCATTTGGAGTTTAGGTCGTTCCCTTCGATGTTAAAATAGCACTTGCAATGCAAAGATTCTTGCGCATGGCCTTTATCCTCTTTTTAAGCTAACAATCACAGTTAAAACCCATGATATCGATATGTCGTGGCTTTTGTATGTGCCTGCGTGTGTGTGGTTCTGGGGATAATTATTGGTATTTCACTGCATCATTTTGCTTGTTTTAAGCATTTCAGTAGTGTCACCTGCTGTTATACCTAGTGAACCAGAGAAGGCTGGGAATGATTTCCAAATGCAGTTAGAAATAGAATTAAGCTTGTTTGCGCATACACTTCTGTTTTTTCTTTTCTTCTAGTTATGTTCTCACTGAACATTCTCTCCTATATTATTTTAGAAATCTTGATTCTTGGCTGTGGAAGGAACATTGAACCTGTAGATCCTGAACTCAGGCGCTTCATCAGTTCTACTGGCATGAAATTGGAACCCTTAGACTCGGTATTGACATTTCCATTTGAGTACTATAGTTGATACCTAAAGTTGGCGACTTACTTTTGGCATTTCATGGCTATAATTTGCTTGAATATCACTAATTTCCCAAATGGCAGAGCCGGTCCTTCTCTCCCCTCCTTGTCAATCTATTTCCTACTGCATGCTTCAGGTTGAAAGCTTCTCATTTATTTGTGTGTTTTGAAGAACCTAATTAAATTACTACGTAAATCTTGGAGCATCAAATTTAGGCCTTATCAAAGAAGGTTAAAAGGCTGTTCTCTTCTTCTCTTTTGTCCAGTACTTTGAATTTAAGCAACAATTTTGCAGTCATTTATCTGCTTGCAACGGGCCTAATTAAAGAGCTCTTTTGCGTTCATCTGTTAGAATCCACATACATAGTTATGTTTTTGTTTGATTTCTCTTCTCAAAACAGCTAGCTATAGTTTCTATTGATCATGCATGTGCAGAAATGCTGTTTATTATTTATGCAAGTGATTTAATACATGTTTATAGTCAACGCCTGAAACTATAAGGACCAATAGGAACTGACTTTGACTACAACCTTGAGGCTCAGAATTTGTTCTCTTGTTGCAGAGAAATGCTGCATCTACTTACAACATACTGAATGAGGAAGGTAGAATTGTGGCTGCTGCATTGCTCCCATATGGAGTTTCTTCATAAACTTCGGTACTCCCAATTTTAATGTGTCAGGGTTTTGATTTTGTCAGATGATGAACTATTAGATGTGTGTGCTTATCTTGATACAGCCATGAGATAAATAAGTAGTTACCGCTCCATGATTAATTGACACCAGTTTTTATTTTGTGCCTAGGATTTTCTCTGTTGCCCCCTCAATTTTCGGGGAATGTAGAGGATTTGAACTTTGAATAAAATTCTAAAACTGTAGCCATTTCGAATTTTGTGTAACTGTAGCTATAAGCTGAGCTGAAAGGAGTTGCAGAATTGCTGTGTATGTACTTGATGGATCACATGTTTTGTCTGTACACAGAGGTAATATGGAGTTGAAGATGTGTGTAGTGCTTACTATACTAGACGAACTGTCTCATTGCCAACATTCTTTTATGTTAGAAATGGAAGAATGACAACCAAATTTTGGGCAGTTGACCTGGTAGTATGATCAAAGAAAAATGAAATATGAGGAAGGAATCGAAAGCAAATCATGAACTTGGACCGGACATTTAACATTATGACACTAGGCATAAACTGAAGTACTAACTGGACAGAAGAAACATACACATTCTGCTACTCGACAGCCATTTGCAACAATTTATATAGTTGGATATACTAAATAACATTGTTTTATGAAAATGATGCTAAATGATGTTAATTTCTAATATTCTTTGCTTAGTACAGGATTATATTTTTTTTGAGGCTGTCAGTTAATGCATATTTATCTTGAAATCAAGGTGTGTTGGCTGTTTTTCAATAAAATGTGATTGTTGAAATTTGGATTGATGGGGGAGTTATTTTACCAGGTTTTAATTTTTTATGGAGTTTCAACTTTTCGATTTTCCCTTTTGTTGCATGAAATATATACGTATACACATCTATTGAGATGTGAAACAAATATAAAATATGTTGATGTTAAATAGTAGTGTATATTCCAGCTAGATTACTCAGATATCACTCTAAAAATAAACTTTTGAAATAACACTAGTTTCAGGTCATTTTTCAAAAGTAAGTTTTATTAGAAGTGTGTTTGTCCTATGTAACATGTCTTATCAATAAGCTTAACTAGGTGTCTTCTTTCTTCTAAAGATGTTGAGTTTTCGGTGGTAGAGTGTGTACGTTGTTAGTAGTTCAAAAGAATTTCGAAACAGATATTAGACTATTCAAAAAGTAAAAATAAGTTTAAAAGGCACCAACTATCAAACATGTTTTTTGTTTAATATTTTCGTTCGTTCGGATCCCCTTGTTCCTATATAAACTCCATCCCGAAGCTATGAAAGAAAAAAAAGATCAGTAAAATATTCGATCAAAATTTGCTACATTTTATTAGTTCAGTACACGAATAAATTTTAATAGTTTTATATTTTTTGTTTATAATATTCTTTATGACTGTTTAGTTATTTAATTATTATTAAGTTATTTTAATTTTATTTAGGATTTATGATTTAACTTTATAGTTTATAAACTTGTATGCATCATTTTAGTTTCTTTTTTAATGAAAGAAAAACGTCTAACCTACTACATTAAGTCCTTGCGCACAAGTAAGGGGACCATCAATGTCTTTGTTTAAAATACTAAGCAGTTGCAGCAGGAGCGATAGAAAACAGTAATCGATCCATTTGGGGAAGGGTCTATCTTAACTATGAAGTCTGTTGTATCATTTGCTTCTCGAGAATTCTTTTGAAAATTTATGAACCAGGTTTTGGCACAAAGACCAGCATTCGCCCTCAGTAAAGCGAATGGACTAGTTTCAAATGGAGAACCAAAGCGAAGGAACTAATTTCGAATAAATGAAAAAGCAACCTATACACATCGTCATTATTCGTTTGCACTATCAAACGCACAAAATCATGGGCTCATGCAAGTTTCAAACCTTCGTAAATCCTCCTTAATTCAGCTTTTAGCACTTGAGAGTGTTCGATGTGATTATTGAAAGCCAACAAAACATCACCAGAAGAATCTCGAAACAAGCCACCAATTAAGCTGCAACTAGTCATAAGCGAGACAGCTTCATCAGAATCCATACATACCCAACCAGAATTCTTAGAAAACAAACCTGATTATATGTCGGCAGCACACATGGCAACAAAAAACTCCATGAAATTAAGCAAATTGAAAGAAAGGTAACAAGTGCTATGCAACAGTTTTTACTCTTGATAAGATGCATAATGAAGTTTAACGTGGCAGCATATGAAAGATTAAGATTAAGGCGGCAAAGCTTAGACATTAAATGTAGCAGCTCAACGTGGCAAATGGAAAATAAATTAAAGAGTCGGCAACAACAAACCAATTGACTTAGCAGCACATGCAAATCTTATCAATTAAGTTGCTAAATTGGAGATAATCATGGCAAGAAATAAGTGGCAAATTTAGGCAGTTAATTGATCTTATATATGTGTGTTCTAGCTTAGTTTAGGATGAATATGTATGTGGGTGAAAAAAGTATTGAGCGAAAGGAAAAATACAAGAGATAGTGAAGCTTAGAAAAGCTTTAATAGTGGGGTTGTGTTTGTAAACTAGCCAAAGTTAGTGTTGTACTCATATTTTGTTTCGTATTAATAATAATGTGCAAGTTATAAATTACTGAGTGTCCATTCATGTTTCCAATAATTGGTATCTAGAGCTTGGTTCAAGTTTACGCAGCGGAGAAGACCACCAACATGATTCAACCACAAATCTCGAGATTGACAAAGGCGAATTATGGCAATTGGAGAATTCAAATGAAGGTGTTACTTGGTTCTCAAGATTGTTGGGATGTCGTTGAGAAATGTTACACCGAACCCGAAAATGCAACAGCAAAAGCAATCTTGTCAAATGAAGAGAAACGAACACTGAAAGAATACCACAAAAAAGATAAGAAAGTGTTCTTTATTTTTCAAGGAGTAGACAAATCTATCTTTGAAAAAAAATCTCAGATGCAAAGACCGAAAAACAAGCGTGAGCCAAAAAGCACAAAAGGTACATTTATAATCCTTAAGAGTTAAGTTTGAAATGTTAAAAATGAAAAATACAGAAAACATCGATGATTATATTAATCATGTGAAAGAGGTCGTAAATGAAATGAAAAGAAATGGTGAATCGTTCGACGAGGTCAGAGTGATGGAAAACTTTTACGGTCATTGACAAGAAAATTTGATTATGTGGTCGTGGCAATCGAAGAATCAAAAGATTTATCTCAAATATTAATCGATGAGCTTGTGGGTTCACTCTAAGCCTATGAGCATAAAATGAAGCAAAATGAAGATATTAAAAATTTAGAGCAAGCGTTGCAAAGTAAAATGAACATCCACAAAGGAGAAGCCAGTAGCAGCTACACATGAGATTGAGGAAATCATGGTGATTATCGTGGAAGAAATAGAGGTGGACGATGAACACAAGGACGCGGTGGTCGATTGTAGACACCTAATTTTGTCCAAGACCCAACCATAATAGTCCATTACAATAATCAAGCCCATCCAACCCGAAGCCCAATAATGAAAACCCAAACATATTAGGGTTTTATCAAATGATGAGGGGGCCTCCAAATCTCAACCGTCAGATCAAGATGGAGATCAAGGGCCCAGATGCATCCTCAAAATAGGGTTTTACCCTAATGCCTTTTATCACCTGCCACTGTCTCCAGCCACGATCTTCCACCGACCAGCGCGTGTGATACACGCACCCCATCGCTCGTCTCCTCACCGGGTGAGCCACCGTCATCAAATATGTAACATCCATTACCCGTATACGCGAACTAATACGAGTTACAGATGCAACATAAGAAATTTAAAACATTTCTTTAATTGAACTAAGTAAAATTTTATTTCATAACTTGAACAATTATTATAAAATAATTATTCAGATAAAAATTGTAGAATAATATTTTTTCATACTATTTATTATATCTAATACTAGTTATATTAAGAAATTGCAGACATTTCACTCTAATATACATGCCAGCTAGAACTTTTAGAACACAGTAGGATGTGATCATTGTTACCTGTAAATATTTCCTTGGTGATTGATGCCAAACTCGGCTCCTTACTCATTTTTCCTATGCGTGAAATCATCACACGCTAAGTATACACTTAGTGAGGCAATCATATTAATATTCAAAGTAATGCAACATATAAATATAAATGAGAAATAATATTCAATGCAATGTGATCACTTTACCTGCATTCCAACCATGTTACCATAAATTAACATGATATAATCGGATATAAAGTGTCTTACCAGTATACTTGTCATTCATTCCACAAGCTCGTAAGCTTATTTGTCTGTTTACCATTTATTAACCATTAAACCATAGCCCAATTTAAACCTTGAGGACCCTGGGTATTCGAGTGAAATGTATGTACCATAGTGATAAACCTGCACTAAGCTTATGCTTTAATGCTAATTCGAATATGACATATAAGGGTGTGCCCACCACCTACACTAGGTTTACACTCTAGTATTAATCCATATATGACACATATGGTTGTGCCCACCACCTGCACTTAGTGTCCTTACACACTAGTGCTAATATAAAACCTGCAGTAGCTATACTCTATGGCATGCCAACTATACCTTGTTCCTCAATGACATACTTGGGCATATAGTCTATTTTTTTATTCCATCCATGACAATGTATATAAATATAATTTTAACATTGGGCAATTCATACCCGAAGTAACATTCATAATAAACATCATATATATTCATGATAAAAATCATATATATAATAATCAGTGATCAATGCATTTTATATTCAACCTTTGACATATTTATAATATGTCAAATATATAATGAATGACATAAATATCATGCCAACATAAATAAAGTACACTCATCGCATGTCCTATCTGATGATGTATAAAACATCCATGTATAATGTTATACATGCATTGCACTTATTTTGACATTATATAAAATTCAAAATATAAGCCTCAGTAAGCTTTAACTTGATCCTCTGCTTCTAATTTGGTTAAATCCCAAAATTTATCATAATTTCATATCCTGACAGTTTGCACTACCTTGAAAGAAAAATTATTTTGTATTAATATACACCTTTAAAAATTATTTCACTTTATACCAATGGAAACTAGACTCAAATAAAAATCTATCCATATAAGGCAATCATTTTATTTCAATTTGTACAATTTAAGGTGAATTTTCAAAGTTGACTGACATAATCTATTTTGAGCATAATATGCTACCCTATTTACTGACCTATCATCGGTTAAAAATTCATATCTTTTTATATATACCTCAAAATCAATTTCCGTTTGTTCTAAATAAAACTATATTGATATAAGAATCCAACAATATAAAAATC